TGTGTGTGTGTGTGTGTGAGTGTGTGTGTGTGAGGCTGTAAAGAGGGCGTTTACCGCTGTCACCTGTAACCCGCGGGTCGCCGGCCAGGTGCATGCAGTCAGCCGTTATCGCAACAAAAGAGAAAGTCCATCCAAGCGCATGATTGAATGTCAGAGAGGTCACTGGACGGACAGACGGAGGGTTCTTGAGTGGCAGTGATTTCAGAAGTATTTCTCATGAAACTTGTCAAGAACACGTCCTCATCATATTTCACCTCTAAAATCAAAACAAAGACACTGATTTTACATAAAGGAAATGAAGCCTTGCTAGTAGCAGTGGTTTATTTTATGAAAGTACTGTAGGCAGTTTTTTTCTTGGCTACAACATCTCCAAACTTTTCCACTATTATTGCCCCCTCAAAATATTGTCCATTTAACACGTTGACCTATTGTGACAACATCCCATCTTGAAACACCAAACAATTAAAGGAAAAAAAGAGTAAACGGTTATGTACAAAAATCATACCAAACCATTGTTTTAGCAAATAAAAATGGTAATTAATACGTTATAATTCAAGCACATGTGAAAACATTCCACAGTAAAAATGTGACAACTTGCTCTGAAGTTGATGAAAAATGCTCTTGTCCTGAAAACAATTCAGTCATTCAGTTCAAATAGTTTAAAGGACAGCATTTATACAAAAAGACCCCAATTTAAGAAAACTATAAATAATAATAATAATATTTAAATACTACTACTATTACTACTACTAATAATAATATAATTAAAAATGCCTAAAATCTAAAGATATTAGATTGTATTCACTTCCATGACATTTCCCAGTCTAGAAATCACACTTTTAAAATTATATTCAGCTGATGAACAATGTGCAACACAAGTATTTAGTAAAACAGTCCCTTTTAATTAGATTGAACTATACTGATGGTGGAAGCTAAGCAAGGCTTGTCTTGGTTAGTTCTTGGATGAGGCTTTGGTTTCCACCGCAACTCAAACACAAAATATGCAGCACAGGTGAATCGGAGACACTCAATTGTTTGTAAATGTGAGTGGATGGATTCATGCTTGCTGCAGTGCATTCTGGGATTGTCTTATCTGTGAATGATACATGTGAGGTTGCTTCCTGGAGGGCCACAGTCCAGGAGACTTTAGCTCCAACCCGAATCAAACACACCTGGACCAGCTAATCAAGATCTTCAGACTCATTAGGAACTTAGTTCGGCCTAAAAGAGTGGAATTATTTTGCTGTCTGACTTTGTGAATGGTCTACATGCCAGGTTCTCCTCAAAATGGGTTTTGGAGACTTTAAATGTGTGTTAGTGGAAGTTCTGTGTGCGGGAGAGCTGGTGTTCATTGACTCAAGAGCGTCGTTGATTAAGAATTCTCTCTCGCTCACGTCTTCGTGCAGGAAGAGCGCTAATGTGAGCGTTTGTGGAGCTCTGGTCGTAATGAAGGGCTCTGATCTCAGGTGTTTCATGGAGAAGTGCCTGTGGTTGACGTCAACGGCTGCACTTCAAGAAGTTTTGGCCTCTTCAAAGTGATGGAAAGAGGAAAGTAGATGGAGGCTTTTAGAGTCTGTAGATGGAGGTTAGAGAGGGTGAGAGGCTAAATGGAGGGGTTGTTTTCCTCTGATAGCGAGCACAGGTGTACGCCACGTTCATCCACTCCAGAATCTCTGCCATTGAATACTGTTTGACTGTTCCGCGTTCAAGACAGAAATGCAAAGAGAGTCCCATTGATTTCACAGATTGAATGCGTGTAAGAAACAAAAATGTATCAAAGTGCCTGAACACAAACTTCACCAAACCTTTGCCCTCGTTTCTGTTGTCTGTTGTGCCTAACAGTGCCGGCGTGGGTCGGACCGGCTGCTTCATCGTCATCGACGCCATGCTGGAGCGAATCAAACACGAGAAGACGGTGGACATCTACGGTCACGTGACGCTCATGCGTGCACAGAGGAACTACATGGTCCAGACGGAAGACCAGTATGTCTTCATTCACGACGCGCTCCAGGAGGCCGTCACCTGCGGCACCACCGAGGTTCCCGCCAGGAACCTGTACGCATACATCCAGAAACTCACGCAGATCGAGTCCGGAGAGAACGTCACCGGGATGGAGCTGGAGTTTAAGGTAAGACGGATGTTAGCGGGAGTCGGGTTTGTTGACGTCTGTTTGTCACCGTAATTCCAAAACCAAAGAAACCAGCTAGCTGATTCATGAGTCTAAGTGAAGAGACCCAAGAACCCTAACCCTACTAAATCGCTACTTGACCAAACCTTGACCTTATATTTATTGATACGTCTGATCGTGGAAGCTTAGCAGGGTTTGGCTTGGTTAGTACTTGGACAAGGATTCGGATTTCCCAACAATCCAAAGACATGCAGCACAGGTGAATTCTCAGAAAAAGAGTCGCCCTTCCAATCACTACTAACAAAGAGAGGTTGTTCGAATGGTGCAGTGTTTTATCTAGTTTAGTTTATCTGTCTAGTGTCCCATCCGCTGACTCGTCTGATTATGGGAACTCTTGATCAGACTCCATCTGAACAGAAGGGGCCTCGAAGCGCCTCGATCATGTCACGTTTGCTCTGGAATGACGGCAGCAGAACCGCCGGCTTGGCCTCAGGAAGCTGCTCGTCTCTCTTCTGTTATTCCACCCCGCCGCGTTTTACTCGGCCTGCCGTTTGTCAAGCAGAAATCTGTTTACCGAGAGTAAGAAGGTGATCGAATGTCATGCCACATCATGAGATCTCGGCGAGTGGGGCCCCGGCCCTGCAGTCGACCCCGCTGGTGAGGCTTGGCTGCCGGTGTCTGGCCCGTCTCAGGCCCACCGCAGGCTCTCTTTACTCGGCCGCAGAGACAGTGTGGGGCCTGTGGTTTCTCCTGCAGGAACCCAGAGACCCCTGTGCCGTTCTCACGCTAACGCTAACCATTACTGCGCTCGCTTGTTTCAACATAAACCACATTTGCTTTGCTCTCTTGTTTTCATGACCAAGTTCAAGACGGTTAAAGACATTAAACATCCACCCCAGTGAAACACTGTGTTTATTCTGGTTTAACATCTATCTATCTATCTATCTATCTATCAATTCAAAATTGCTTTATTGGCATGACTGGAAATGATACAATATTGCCAAAGCTTAGTATACATGTACAAAAAGATAAAAATAATAACATAATAACAATAATAATTAAGTGAACATCACAGTAATATAATTGAATATTATAACATCTTAGAAATATTAAACTGTAACAAATTATAACGTGTGAACATTTGATACCACAGTCTTTAACATCTATCTATCTATCTGTCTATCTATCTATCTATCTATATATATATATATATATATATATATATCTGTCTGTCTGTCTGTTTTTTGTCAGACTATCTATCTGACCATCTGTCTGTCTATCTGACTAGTTATCAGTTTGTCTGTCTGTCTGTATATTTCTATATCTGTCCTTCTGTCTGTCTATCTTTCTGCCTTTCTGTCTTTCTTTCTTTCTGACTGAATGTCTGTCCAAATATTCACAAGGCCTTCAAACTTTCAATAACTCCTGTTTTCAAGTCAACATGTCTAGACAAACTTTTCCCATTGTTTTTTTTGTTTTTTTTAAAGCTGTTTATGATTTTTGTTTCTTGCAGCGGTTAGCGAACACAAAAGCTCAAACCTCACGGTTCATCAGTGCCAATCTGCCCTGCAACAAATTCAAGAACAGACTGGTTAACATCATGCCTTACGAGTCCACGCGCGTCTGTCTGCAGCCAATCAGAGGAGTCGAGGGCTCCGACTACATCAACGCCAGCTTCATCGACGGATACAGGTGAGCAGAAGAGCCCGGATCTGTCCGTCTGTGTGCGTTTGTGACCGTGAAGGTGAGTAAAACTTTAAAAAAAAAAAAAAAAAAAAAAACGTAATTTTAGATAAAAAGATTTGAGATAAAAAAAAGGTCTTAACAGTGGTGTTCTGTGGTAGATTATGCATTTTTATATCCTTTTTATTTGTTTATTTATTGCTGAAGAAAGTACTCTGAAAAATGGTATAGAAACGCATTTCAATCAGAAATTGCATTTGAATTAAATATGAAATTTTGTAGTAGGATGACAAAAATAGTATTTTCTTATAAAATGTGCTCCAATAATCTTTTCAGATTTGATTTACAACTTCTCTTTTTGTCTTTTTTACAGTGTAGAAGTAAATGTACACTTTTTATTAAGAATATTTACATATTAACTCCGTAGAGTCCAAATTCAAAATGGTCACTTTTTTTTTTTTTTTTCATTTTAACCTCAAATTTGTTTACCGTTTTGAACGGTCTGTAAACATGAATTTTTCAAAGTCATCCATGGTGGTTGGTTTAATTTGCATTCAATTCGATGACTCCAGGATAATTTTGCACTTTTAGGCTGATACTTTTTCGGCTGTGACTGAATGTAATATCCAGATTTTGAAAGAACACCAAGACATTTCCTCAAACTTCATGATCTCATGTGCCACTGTTGAGAAAACAGCAACGTGATTTTCTTTCAAATAGATTTGGTGCTCATTTTATTCATTTTTCTCTTTGCTGAAACCCCAGTGTTAACGATTATTCCTCTCAGTGCTGGTATTTGTGCTGATGCTTTTTGCATTCTGGTTGTATTTTGGCTTTTGCATGACTGATGTATTGTGTCTGTCCATCAGGAAAAGTGCCATCAGTACTGGCCAGCAGAGCGTTCAGCCAGATATCAGTACTTTGTGGTGGATCCAATGGCTGAATACAACATGCCGCAGTACATCCTGCGAGAGTTTAAAGTGACGGACGCACGGGTGAGACACCAGACCCTCGGCCCATCCTCTGCTCTGTGATTTGTGTATTATAATGCATATTCAGTCTGAGTAAAGCTCACAGGACTCTAATTCCATCACAGCATTTATTCTGATAAACACTCACGCATTCCTGCCGTTTTATATCTGTCTCTCTCTCTCTCATGTTGCTTATCTGGGATATACAAAATCACTAAAGAAATGCGAACTCTCTGAGCTTCTCGTCAGGAGCTTTTCAGCCGCCCACATCAGAGGATTTAGTGTCTGGAGTCACTCATTCACACGCTCAGGTGAAACGACACGCTTCTGAGCCGTGGGCAGCTGGAGCTCAAAACAGAAAAACACCCAAAACTACTGTGCTGATACCATGTAAATACCATATATCACCATATATATGTGATCCTTTTCCTTCCCTTTCTCTTTAATGCATAAATAATGCAGAATAAAAAAAATATTGATTTCTTTCAAATGAATGAAATCTTTCTGACCCCAGACTTTTGAACAGTAATATATCTCGTTGGATACTCAGTATCAACATGACGTTTCTTAATTATTGTTGTTTCTTGAGCTTCTCAGACTCGTTCAGGATGCGTCATGTACTCGTCATCGGTTTGACAAGCGCGGCGTCTGTCTCTCGCACGTAAATGTGAATGTAATGGATTCGTGTAACGCGTCAGAGATCAGCCGCAGCTCTTTTATTCTCATCCTGGGTCAAACAATTACAAGCACACGACGTCACAGTTGACATTCAGTTCATCGCAGTAAAAATAAATAAATAAATGAATAACCCTCAACCCTGTTACCACTTGATTTTCCGCCATTACAAAAATTACTTTACTTGAAATTGTTACACCCACAGGAAGTGACATCGTTTGATCATTTGTTCTGACAGGAAGACGAATACATGATTTAATTCCCTTTTTCACAATGTTTACACAAAACAGTGTTGATTGTATTTATTAAGCTCAGCCACTCAACACTGTTACTCAAGATAGAATTAATGAACAAAAAATATTGGTAACACTTTACTATAAGTTTATAGCTAACTTCCCTCATTAGTTAATGAATTAGCTAGCACTAATGAGCAATATATTTCTACAGCAGTTATTCATTTTTGTTGATGTCAGTTAATAAGTTAATGTTTTTAGGAATTAAAATGTCGTATAAATCAGTGTGAATGATATATGAACAAACCTCTCAGTAAAAACCTTCAGAATATAGACGGGAATAAAGCTCTAAGTTTCGGTGTGTGTAAGTGCTGCTGAACTGGAGAAAAAACTCTTTAAAGATATGGATTTGAATTGAAATCTACTGTACAGACGCAAATAAATAAAGTGCAAAAAAAAATGTTGGATGTTTTCTTTCCTCTAATGCTGATAGAAGACGTGATATGGAAGCAAAATTGACCAGTGCTTAAAATAACAATGGTTTCGCCTGCAATTAGCAAAATATTATAAATAAGTCTCTTTAAATCCAGGTTAGACTCAGTCAACTCTGATCACATGTTATGGTTTGGAATATCAGAGCTCCAGCTGACGGGTTGTGTTGTGATTGATCCGCAGTGCTGGCGTGGGCAGGACGGGCGTCTTCATCACGCTCAGCATCGTTCTGGAGCGCATGCGCTATGAAGGAGTGGTGGACATCTTCCAGACGGTCAAGATGTTGAGAACACAGCGGCCGGCGATGGTCCAGACTGAAGTACGTAACCGTTCTCACTTCTTCACTTCAGTCAGGATGTAAAACACAAATTAAAACAGCACATTACAGCGAATAACATCCAGGGGTGCATTTCCCAAAAGCATCGTTAGCCAACTATGGTCGCAAGTTCCATCGTTACCAACATAGTTCAACGATTTGGTGTTTCCCGAAAACATAGTTCAAACGAACATTCGCAAACAGCGTCGCAAACTTGCGTGGTAGGAACTACAGCTCTCCACCTGTGGTTAGAAGCATAGTTTCTTGTTAGTAAGATATGTGGACTTAAATAAATTATGCTTTTGGGCACAATAAGCAAGCTAACATGCAGTACAATCTATATTTTCCATTCTATTTAAATATATTGTAATCGATATATATATTTTAGCGCGTCCTCAGTTAGCGCCGAGGGAACCTCGGAGTATGACGTAAGACGAAACCCGCGATGAATCTAACATCAAATAAAGCAAAATGACGGGGAACAAAATATAGTAAATTAGTCATCAGGTGCCATGTTCAGTACAGCAGCATCTCAGAGATCTCGAATCAATTAATTAGCTGACGTTATTACTCCATCTCATGCTCATGACGTCATTAACGACGGCCCTAAATTGTTGAACTAATGTGGTTCAAACGACGGCTATGCGACCGTGTTCGTGAAACAGTCGTGACTGGCTAGTTAGTTTCCACAACAATGCATCGTACTATGGTGGTTAATCAGTGAGTTACGTCGTTGTACGGGAAACGCACCCCAGGTCAGGTTAGTGATTGGACTTTCAGATGTCCTCTATGATTTTAGTCTGAAGAGTTTGTGACGGAACGAACGGACGCTCGGCTTTGTTCGGCCCGCAAACGCTCGTTCTCATTTATAACGACAAACCCTTCTGGTTAGCCATGCAAATTGGTTCAGATAAGCAATTTCACAGCTAACCCGCACAATGGCCTTTCCCAGCGTCAATGGGGGAAATTATTTTCTGCGATCAATGCGGACAGCGAGGTGATGAGGCTCGAATCTCACGCTCGGCGCAACACAATCCCTGCTTTTCACCTCGCAGACACGCGACGCAAAAGCGCGGCATTAGAGCCGGGTTGATGTGTTGCTATGGAGACGAGAGGAGCCGCGCATCCGTGAATTCACAGAGAAACCCATAAAGCCGTTCAGAGGATGTCAAGTTACAAGAGATTGTGTTTCAAACGTCATGGCTTCTTTCTGCCTAAATTCATGCGGCTTCATTTAGGAAACTAGATTATCATCATGGAATACACTGCGTTTGCTTTCTGAACTGATGTTGCTGCTCCTGTTGTGAGCGATTCATCAGTGCACGTTATTCCAAATTGTCTTCAAGATTTTGCATTGACATGTAATAATAATGATAATAATGTCATTGGAATTGTTAATTTTTACCACCTGTCATATACACTTCCCAATGGATAAATGGATGGATTTTTCTCACACATTTTCTCTTCTCCCAGCTTCCTGTTATATCAGCATATTTATTATATAACTAAATATATGACCATATAATTTACCATTTTGTCTTTATTATCTAAATTTTTTTTAGATTGTAGTTAACGATGCATTATGTGAAAAAAGAAAAGAAAATGAAGTCATGCATCAACCCTGTTACCATCATATGTGTCCCATATTAAATTATGTACTATAATTATAAATTTAAAACCAAACAAAAAAACTTCAACATAATCATTTTTTTAAGATGTAAGTTCTCCTAGGACAAGCTCATCTTTTTCGCTTTGTGGAAAATAAGTACTCTTTAGTGTATTATTTGTTTATTTAGTTTTAATAATATATTTAAGCGTGAACTGAATGTAATGTTTTCAGACACTTAGTTGTGTCAGCATGTTAATTACAATTAAACGAATATGTATTGTAGTTTACATTTACATCAAATGCAATTAGCTGAACTTTACAGTGTTTTTGCCCCACTTAAGTAGGAAGGTTGTACAAACCAGACCATTAACGGTGGTTTTAAACTTCTCTTTATGTTCAGAACATGACAAACACTTCTTCAAAAATTCTTTACACTTTTCCAGTCATTTTTCCTTAACAAAATAAAGATCTTAATAGAAAAATAAATTTCTTAGTTTCTGCATGTTCTAATGAGTGATATTGTTTCAAATCATGAAACAGGTTTGTGTGACGAGTATCTTCAACACAGTTTGCAGTGCAGGCTGCAATATTAATATTACATTTTTTTTGTCTCTTTTAAATGCACATTTGACAGTAGCTTGAGTTTGGATGCAGATTCATATTTATGTTTATTATCAAAAACAGGAACATCTGTAAACATTGTAATAACCTCATTTTTATATGGTGAAATTTAAT